TCTGAGTCTCTTCTGACCCAAAGTTTTTTCTCACTTACCAGATCGTTGTGCAAAAATTCAATACAGAATGACTGCAAGCCAGAATTTTTTTTTTTTTGGGGCAACTACTAGCAGTACCTGAGAAAATTAAAAGGTTGAACTACTAGAATGAGGGTATCTATCCTCTGCATCAGACTGAAGGACATGGAAAGCTGATATGTGTTGCTTGTCAACATATAACTGTGAGATCAGACAGAAAATGAAAGATGTGTGACTCAAGGAATATCCTGCCTCATTGCTATACAACCAGGCCTCTTGCAATTTGCCACTTGCAATTTCTTAGTTTATCTGTCTTCTGCGTGTCTATATAGTTTTCATTAAGAGCTTTCTGTGTGCAGGATCGCAGTAGCTGGCTACGTTTGTGGTTACACCAGGAAAGCGAAAAAGTTTCAGCAGCGTCGGTTTGCTTCTGGACTTCAGCAAATCGCTTAAACGCAGTGTACTTCATTATCCATCTCCCTTAAGAAAAGGTACTGTGGTGGCCTCCATGAGAGCATCCACCAGTTCATACTGCTCGCCATGTTTATCCTCACAACATACCCGTGAGCTGGGAAGTGCTGTTGTCCCCACTGTGCACATGGAAGAGCAAGGCAGATGATCCCTCAGTAGGGTTTGTGCCGTGTTTCCTCCAGACCAGGCTGTCATGCTAATCACAAGATCACTTTTCACATAAAGCATATGTGAAAACACACGATTCTCTTCAGAAATTGTTTTGGAGATTCATGTTCATAATGCACTTTGGATTGCTGGGTGAAAAAATCCGTTTCGAAAACAGAGAGGTGGTGTACGTGCTTGAAAGGAGAAAAAGAGTGAATATCTGTTTCAGTCCTAAAACTTTTCTTTCAGGTGTCTGTGTGACTTTTTATTATTGTAGGAGCTATCTATCTGCTTCGCATCGACATTTAACAGCATTTGGATCTCCAAAACTTTGTTAAAGTTGGTGCTGTTCAGTAATGTTCCTAATACAAATTGTGGGTATAAAATATATATAGAATATTGAAAAGGATTGCAGGGGCATGACCTTACTGATAGATTTTGTTGATTTTTACATGCTGTATAAGATATTGAAAAGAAGCTCAAAGAAGGTAGTGACATGGTTGCTTATTACAGCAAAATAAAGCTATCAAAATAGTGATGCACTATTCTCTGTAATACTTGCCACTATAAAGCATATTTTGAAATTGGATTGTTTGTTCATTTTTACATGAAAATTTCCTTTTAAAATGCTGTCCTGTTAGCTGATGAGTAACATAGATATGACTGCTGCATGTAGAGAAAAGCGTTTAGACTAAAATGTGTTGTTGACACAAACACATAAAGAAAGGAGATTTTTAAGAACGAGAAACCCACAGTGTCTTAATGTCTGTCACAACCAGGGGAAGCTGTATATGTAAGCCAGATTTACATAACCAGGGACATCTGGGGACATTTGGTCAAGAAAAAGTGCATACTACAATTTTTTCCTGGGGTTTTCAAAACACAGTGTGTGCCTAAGTAGTATCAAAATAAGAACTCAAGCCAGAACATTGATGAAAACTTTTCTCCCTTTTTTCTGTGAAAAGCCATTTTTTTTCTTTATAGTTTGTATGTTACGAAGAGTGACCTCACTGTTCTCTTCTTAATCAGTACTTGAAAAATTCATTTGCTTTTTTGTCTTTGGAGTATGATGAGGATTTGGCATTTGTCAATGAGAAATGCCTACTAATACCAGTTCCTAGGCTAGTGGTAGTCTGTGTGCATCGATGGCAATGAGGTATAAAAGCTATCTATGGTACACGTTTTCACTGAAACTGAAATGTTGGAGTTATTTACCATTACAGAATCTTACAGCATTTGTACAAAGAAATTGCAGCTTATACAAGAAACAGTTTTCAGGCACTGTTTCACTGATTTTCAGAGACTCTTGCCTGCATAAATGCTGTTGAATTAAGCCCAAACTTGGATAGCATTGTCCAGATTTCTATCACAGCTGCACCCAACCTTTGCATCAGACTGAGAGATGTAGGCAAATACCTATCTGTCATTTATCCTACTGCCATTTCATAGCTTTCCAGCAGCATAAGCAGATCCTGTCAAAACTGCGTCCAAAATATTTGACCAGGTCTCAAAATTTCTATATTATGGAAATAAAATGTCTCAGAAGCATACCTCTAAATTTTACAGTTTAAACCTGCTACTCTTCCTCACATACATGATCCTTTGATAAAAAGGAAAATATTCATCTTCAGTGTTGATCTCTACTTCTCCATCAGCAGAACAAAATTTAGAATTAACACAAAAGGTCCAATAAAGAAGAGGCTTTACTCGATATAAGTATCCCTCTCATGTCTTTGCCAATGCCACTTTAGATGAAAGACATATTTCATGGTATTTGTCAGAGCTATTTTGCTGGGTGTCTGCTGGATTTCCTATCCTTCAGGTGGAGACCATTAGCCTGATTCTAATCATGTTTATATTGGATGTAAAACAGAATCAAGGTGTGTGAAGCATCATGCATTCAATGTATAATAAAATAAATGCACAGTAAGTCCATTAAGTTATTATTAAGGCCTAGCGATTTCAGTAAGTTCACAGGATCAGACCCAGTTTCGTCCTTTATAATATTTTACTAGGTTTTTTATTATTTTGAATATCCCTATGACTGTATTATGGTAGTATATATGATAATTAACATGAACATTCACACTGATTAGTCTATAGGAATTTTGACACATACATAAATATATATTAGACCTGTATAAGATATTGATAAATTAAGTGCCAGATGCATTTTAGGAGCAAAGTTTTTTTACTAGTATAAATGACAGAATAGTTAGACATAGTAGACACCTATTATCAATTACCAGGTTTTGATTGTCTAAATTGAAATGGAACAATAGTTTTCAAAAATCCAACTGAATAACTGGAATTGAAAAAGGAGAAAAAGTTCATATAGTGGTGTATTGTATCTATCAAATTTGGAATATATTGCTAGATCTTACATGAGCTTGGAAAAAAAAATTTCTATGTCAGATAGACTTTTTGAATCTTATGCTATAGACTGTTGGAGAAAATTTTTTTTAAAGAGAATACTTATAAATGGTTATTGGTTTTAGAATCTCTGTGAAACACAGCATATTTGCTTATTAATTTGATAACATTCTCTTTAATTCCAAAGTGAAATGGCATTTGGTAATGAAGTGATTGTCATTTTAAAACACCTTTGGTTTTGAGGTGCTGTTGTCTATATAATTTTTTTTCCTTTAAAAGTTTAATGCCTATAGTATTCTTACATCAAATTCAGATGAATCACGAGAAACATTTTCATTTATTAGGAAATGTCTATGTTACATTCCTTACTTTAGAAAAATAAAAGAAATGATCACAGAAAACACATTTTAATTTAATTATATCCTTTAGGTCATTAAAGTGATGTAAATGTGCACGTCGGTCCTCTTTTCATTCACAAATTATTTTAATCCTTCGTATCCATATTTTTGTTCCCCTATGGCTTTCTTTCATATTTGCTTTGTTTTGAAATTGCATGCCGTCTGGATTATTTGTGCATGACCTCCACATTAATTTCAAATTGAATGTTTACCTACTCTGAGAGATGCTCATGGAGCATTTATTATTCTACATGTGCATTTTTTTCCTTTGTTTTCAGTTACTAAAGTTTAAATATGCTTGAAATGTAAAAGTGGCATGAAACTTTTGTGACACAGGTAAATATTTTAATAGAATATTTCAGTACCTAAGCCTTTTAACTTCTCATCTTTCAGAAATTTATCATATTCCAAAACAGATTTTATGCTGTGCTTCCAAAATATAAGAAAAAAATTATGTTCTCAGACCCTAAAACTATTGCATTTCCGATTTGAAGCCAAATAGTGGTTATATTTTTGTTCAGGCAATCACAAATACATGAGATGATAGATTGTTTCATTAAATGAGTTGAGAGGATCTCTGCTCTTTGCAGATGATGGGGTGCAAAGTCGGGAATCTGGACTTTGCTTTTGCTCAGTATAGGAAACGGCGCAGGACATGGTCCAACGGACAACACGCATTACGGCAGTCAGGCACTATCTACAGCTCTCGTATGTGCCCTCTGGAAATGCTAGCTTCTTTCATTTGACTGTACAGGGGCCCTAATTCCTCATTTAGCATCTGAAATAGATGTGCCAAGCAGGCATATCCTGCTTTTATATAATATAGTGCCATGAACTCTTACAACTGCCTATAAAAGTCAATGATTTTATTACATAAAATACCCATTTGATTCTGTCTTAACTTCCTTTTTGAAGAATATAAACTTTATATGTATGTTGCTTAATATGCCATGAAATGCTGTTGATCATCAGAATCTAATATCTCAATCACATAAAACTGAAAGTACATCCAGAAAAACTTCATAAGTAAATATACATGTATAAAATAAAACAGTATTTTTTTTTAATTGTGGGAAAGAAAGCATTAAAACACACTTAGTAAGCTGCTGATTCAGAAGATAAATAATATGAAATAGTGACAGTTATTGGAAGCAAATATTCAATTGGCACAGAGCTAAATTCACACACTTTAAAGGCTTCCTCTTTCTTCTTTGCAGCCTTTTCTTTTTTAGCCAGTTAATTAATTCTGTGCACAGTTTGCTATGACTAAAGATGAGTGAGGGGCTTGCTCTCAAAGCATGCTGAGTTGTCTGTAGCCCTCTGTCTGAACAACCCAAACATGATAGTTTTGAAATAAGGAGCTGAAGTTTGCGATTTGCAGCCTCTGTAATCAAATTGATGTAGTCTTCAGGGGCTTTGCCTTCAACCTGCAGATCTCACTGCAACCACTTGTGATTCTCCCCAGCCCCTTGGTTTGGACTGATTTGAGTCACTACAGTTCTCTCCACTTTTACAAACTAGTTGTTTTGTCAGCATGAGTGTGACAACAATTAGACGTCCCTGTTTTTGCCCCATGCCTTTTCTCCTTCACAGTCATTCAATGACAAGCGTAAAAAGAACTTCATCTTTTCACGAAAATTCCCATTCTACAAGAGCAAGGAGCAGAGTGAGCAGGAAACAAGTGATCCAGAACGTAAGTAACTTCTTGGAGACAATGGCACATGCAGCACAAAAAAAATGGGTGACACGCATGATACCAGTACCCCACACATCTAGGCAAATATATCTTGTAGGCAGGCAGGCGAGGTATTACTACTGTGACCAATGTGTGACTGCAATTTGGATCCAGCTGGTCCCTCCTTCCCTGGAAACATCTTTTTCAGACAAATAAAACAGTGACTTGAGCTCTGGGGAGATCATTTCTTCCCCTTCATAAAAAATACGGCTCCTAAAATTGCTATGGTACTTGTTATAAATGCAAACTTGTCTCTGATTAAATATTCCCAGATCAGAACTGACTCAAAATAATGCAAATGTGATTTATTTTAGAATATTTTAGAAATTTAGTTATTACATTTAAAAGCATCTACTCTGTTCTCTTTTTTGTCTCTGACGTTCCTCAAGTTAATTGTCTTGGGCACTCTCACTGAAAGTTTAACAATAAACTTAAGTGTCTATGTTAACAGTTTAAAGAGAAAAATCAGATCTTGGAATGTGCACCACCCCCACCACCTCAGAGCATTTACTGCTTGCTTCAGAAACAGCATTTTTAAAATATATGCTTGTTCTAAGCCCAGATAATTTAAACAGTTTTCTCTTAATAATTCTCTCCTTATAAATTTCTCCGGTGAGGATTGTTTCTGGACTTTATCTGTTGGGTTGTTTCTTCTTCATCACAGCTACAAAGGCTGTATTTCATGGTCACTGTTCCTTTCAATGGCTGCGTCCCCATAGACTAGGGGTTGAAGTTGTTTCAGAAAGAAAAAGCAAGGATCCAGATTGCTCAATCAGCATGGTCAGTCATGGTAGTATCCATTTCAACTCCACTGACTTCTTCCTTCCTCTTCTGCGGCTGTTCTTCCTTTCTCATTGCTCTCTCTGGGGACTTCCGTGCAGGACATCCCCGGATTAGGTGACGACGGTTATGGAACAAAGACTCTGAGTAAGTTCCCAGGAATGGTCACTGTACATTTTTTTTTGTTTTGTTTTGTTTTGGCTTTTGTTCCTTCTCTGAGGACCCTCCACTCCTAGCATGCACAAGACAGAGTTTTATTTGTTACCCAGCTGTGAATGCATTAAAAAATGTTTCAATTGTTTTGTTCTGCATGACAGTATTAAATAACATACAATGTATCAAGCAGATACTTTTACTTCTTTTGTAATAACACCTTTTGCTTCTGACAGTATGTTATTGTTCCCATCATGGCAGTTCTGTAGAGTAACATACCTAGAACTTATTTTGCTGCCTAGATTGTACTTTTCAACAGCAATCCCTCTCCATCTAAAGGGAAAACTAAACATTTTAGCTTGATCACATCCTGAGGAGATCAGTAGAAAATTATTTTATGCTATTGCTTCTGCATTTTCAGCTTTTTGCATGGGAGTGTTTGTTAGTTTGCTGGATTTCAGATTAGTATTTGTTATTAATGGAAGAAGCCATTTGCAGGCGAGAGAAGACATGGCTTCTCCCAAGATAATTTCGGACCCAGTTCACCATTAGCAGCTTATTCTCTGTCATGCAGCCTTAACCAATTTCTTTTTCTGATGCAGTAGTCCTATCTCAAGATTTGGTACACATCAGACAGAAAACTTTTCAGAAATAAGTCTGTTTCCTCGATAGTTAGACCAGAGAAACGGTATAGAGTGAAATATTTGCAGCTGATTTCTATATGAATAGCTACATTATATGCCGTATTCAGAGCTAAATACTTTAAACAGAAGCTAACTACTTTGAACAAAATACCACTTGCATGTATTTGGCTGCTTCATTCTTCAGTTCTTATGGTTTTTCTTAAGCACCATGCAATTGAAGGAAAATAAGTGTGAATGTTGCCATTGCATCACCTACCGTTTTGTTCATGTTTTGTAATTATAGAAATGCACACTCATGCACACAATTTTAGACGTTATTCAGTTCCTGATTGATTTTTTGAAGGGACATTTTAATGATTTGATTTCAAGTCACACAGTAGTTCACCATTTAAAGATGAAAGCTTCATCTCTTGGGCAAAGACGAACAAATCTACGAGACTAATTTCCTCAGTGATTGATAGGCAGTAAATGTCACTGCCACTAGAATTTTAACCATTCTGTTACCAAATGCTTTCAGGAAAGTACCTTAGCATCAGATTAGCAACGCATACATATCCTTCTCTGCCTAAAGAGAAATAGAATATTTCTGATTTTATGAGCTCCACAAATCTCCATAACATCTAACCATTTCAAAGGAGAAAACTAAACTCTGCTAACTAATTGCTAAGGGAAAAGTAGCACAGAGGTATTATATAGGCTGTAGTTTCTCTATTAATATTACATCTAGCTTTCAATTACTGGCACACCTCTAGACATTCCAGGCCCATCCCAGTTTCACTAATATTAAACTGAAATATACGTTTTAATGATGTTTTGTACTGCAGAGGATATTTGTTCTTGTTTCATACAGACCTTCAGGGTCCTCTGCAGCATAATGGCTTGATGCAGCCCTTGTTAAATTGCTATTAAATGTCTAAAAGTAAATATACCATTTTGCTCAAAATGTGAGCTTTACTTTTTGAAGCTTTTTACTGAGCACCAGACCAAAGTTTCCCATTATTATTTTTATCAAATGTCATCCTCCCTCATTTCTTCTACTGGAATAGGGCCATCAGTCCCACTGTGTGAACTCTATTTAATTAGACTTGTATGTGGGGAGAATTGCAGTGCTTTGCAAGGGGGGCACAGTCTTCGGCATAATTGCCATGCCCATCCTGCAGGACATCAATGCAGGCTCTACTCCGGGTTCTTCCCGGGGCGTTCTTGGCTTTTGTGAGTTTTCTTCCTTTGCTAGGAAGGGTTTGAGGTAGTTACAGGTGGGTGCTGTAGGGCACGCACAGCCTAATCTGCCAAATGGATTAATGACAAATATTAGGCCAGTTCTGGCTCCTTGCATTTGTCAGAAGGTGACTTATTTGCACGCTTTGTGCATTCAGCCACCAGTGTCTCGTTCTCTTTAACCAAAGGTGACTCCTCACTGTTTATCCATTTTACTACTGTTTTTAAATGTCCTCGTGCAGTTCAGAAGTGTCAGTTCTCAAAGATGGTCTTTCAATTACAAATTTATCATAATTTCTGTCAAAGATACTATTAATATCATTGCTTAATGTGGTTCTGTGGACCACCTGAAGACCATATATGACAGCCTGAGTGACCATAAGTGGTATGCTGGCTACAATTTGGGAACAACCACCCCCCATGATATAGATTGCACTTTTTTTTAAATAATGTGATACGAATGCCAGACTTGTCAAACCACAATTCAGACCCAACATGATAATTCCTGTGTTCCTATTTATCCATCCAAACTGGTCTGGCAAGGATTTTCCTACTATAGGTCAAATCCTGAAGCTAGACAATGTTGGAAAAAGGGTTTCTTCCATTTTTTCTTAGTTTTGTCATTGACTTTTTCTTTTTATGGATGTGTTAAAATAGATACAGTTACAATATTTGGTACCAAAACCATTTTCATGTTAATTTGTTAACCTTCTGAGATAGTGCAGAGCAATTAATGACAAGAGCAAAAGTTAGAACTCTTTAAGTTTAGCAGAAATAGTTCCAATGCATTAATGGTGCGCGTTGTTCACAGTACAGAATAATATGACCAGACACTCAGGTTTCATGAAATTAGTCAAGAAGTCCAGTGAAGTGCAAGTGGACCATACTGTATTTTGAAATTAAATTATGTGAGATATCATTAACTGTTTCATCAAGATTTAGAAGTGGCTTTGCCATAGTGCATATTACTGGCTATCACATATAGACCCTTTCTGAAATGCCGCAAGAGAAAAAGCTTTCATTTTAACTGTGTAAATTATCTAGGATTTTCAGGTGATGCCACCGTACAGATTTTATTTCCTCTCTGCACAACTACCTTTGCATGACTGTGGCAGTTCTTTTAAGTTTCTGCTGCTTTGTAGTGCTTGGTTATGTTCTTAATTTGCTGTACTGTTCTTGCAGAACATGTTTCTTCTAATGCCAGCGATAGTGAAAGTAGCTACAGTAAGTTACTGCTTTCGTTAGAGTCCTTTTACTTTGCATTGCTTATTCTGTTTCTTTTTTTTTATTTCTCTTCTTGCTGTTCTTTTGTTAATGTTAAAAAGACAGTTGGAGCAAATGGCTTGGAATTTCAATTTACAACCATATACAAAGCTATAAAAGACAACTGGCAACCTTTAAAAGAACAGGGAGGAAAGTTGTTATTTGGGATGCATTCTGGGATGTAAAATCAAAGCTGACTCTGGGTAGGCTGTGAAAATCGGGATTATTTGGTTTAGTGACGTGGCATTTATCTCAGCAGGTGGGGGACAATTTCTTGATGACCTTTTAAAAGAAAAAATACTCATAACTGCAGTCAAACCTGCAAAAAGACATCCTCTTTACAAGGTCACAATTTTTACTTGTATTTCTGCATGTCTGTTTGAACAGATAATAAATATCCCCAAAAGCTCTACTGAGCCCTGCATTTTGGGGGTATAGGTTTCCTAAGTGTATATTGAAGTCTTCAAAAAGGTAAGATAGACCTCCTCCCCTTGGGCACTGCCAGTGAATCTCACTGATTCCCTGCAAAGAAAGGTCCCACTCCTGAAACCTGTTCTGGCTGAAATCATAGACTCGGTGTGATCATATAGTGACAGATTGCAAGTTCTATACTAGTAATACTAACAAAAAAAAATCAAACATTGTATTTCTTTTTTATGTAAGTGTAGAAAAGCAAAAAATAAGGCATTAAAGTAACTGAACACAAATGTAAGAAGAGATATTTAAAAAGACAGATTGCTTACCGAATCACCCAGTTGTTTAATTGTGTCAAGCCATTTGCTTAGGAAATCAAGTTTTCCACCAGTCACTCAGCACTTGTGCTAAGTACTCGCCTACATTCAGGTAATCATTGGCATTATACCTCATACTTTCTAGCCTCAGATATAATGCATAGCAGTT